GCAGCAACCTCCAGAGTAAGAGCAGCATTTTGAAAATGAAACACTCATCTCATTGAAAAGAAAAAACCCTTCCTGTGATAGATGAAATGGAACTTTGACTAGGGTGATTCTTCTCTTCAGGCCTTATGGCAAAGCTCACACCAGTCTCTATGGGCAGTTATTTTTGGAAACGGCACTCACATTTGGCTGGCACTTGTTTGCACACAGATACAACCTTCCACACAGATACAGCACCAAACTCCCACATCTCCACCTCCAGCCAGACCTCAGTAGGGCAGAAGCAGCCCTATGTCAGAGTCCTTCAGCAGACTTCAACTTGGACTACAGCTTCTTTGAAATTAAGGAGACCCATTCATAGCTGAATACGGAAAAGACAGATGCCTTAGAGCCTGCAGTGCCCAGCGTTGCCCTCCGTGACTCTAGAAGAAATTCCAGTTATGTCCACAAGTTTGCACAATCTTGGAGTGACAGGGATGAAATTACTATTATTTATGTAACTGAAGGGAAAGAAATGAAAGACAGAAGGTGACAGCCCTCAGAGCATCCCTTCGCCTGACGAACACACTGACTGCAGCTCGCCGAAAGAAAGATGAACTTATGCTGGAATTCCAACAGCAGATGAACATCCCAGAATCTGTTCAGTTCATAAGAGATGAATAAAGCTTTCCTGACTACCAAACCCTGTGTTTAGGGGAAAGAAGTCTGTTCTTTTTATTCAGTGAACTAGTATTCCCGATCCACTCTCACCATAAACCTCCTAACATTCAGTTACTACTGTACTTGAACTGAGTGAGCTGACTAGTGACCCAGAAAATGTGTCATTCTCCACAGGATGCAGTCTGCTAACCATTATCCATTTACCTGCTGCTATCCACAAAACATACATTTTGCTGACTACAGCAACAGTAACTGTTTTATTCTATTTCTGCACATTGAATACCATTGTGGTAAAATGAATTCCTGTAATTAACACGCTCAACAGAGCTGAGAAGCTCTATAATATGGTTAAATAAAGCTGGAATATTATCTGATTATATAATTTGCAACTTACAAAGTGCAAACTCCTCATGCCCGGAGTACGGAATAGCCTCCACAGATGTACAGTCCAAAAAAATGTGAAGGAATTTTGAGTACTCAGGATGAGAATCTTAATTCAAATGCATCGGATGCATTAATTAGAATGGTTTCCACTCAAATTTAGAAGTTTTCTCCTGCCAGATTTATTCTTCTCTTCTTTTAAGGATAATTATCTGTTATCTTAGTCAGTTTTGCCAAAACCGACTCTTACTGGAACCCCACTGGCACTTCAATATTACAACTTCATTCCTTATTTCTTCCTATTTTCTGTCTTTTACCTTCACTTTCAAAATCCTGGTCACTTTCACCCTCACTGACAGTATTTTCACCTTTTGGGGTGCTATGCAGCTTAAATGTTCTTCTTTGGCTCCTCCACACAGCTGTGATAAAACTTTTTTTCCCAGTATTATCCAAGCATCAGAAGTGCAATTTCACTCACCTTCTGGGGTTGTTTGGATTCTTTTTTGCCATTCTGCATAGCATTACTCTTGCATTACATCCATGCAAGATCATAGCATATGTTACTTGTTCAATTGCTGTTTCAGACATCACACATTCCTTGAAAAATTCTGAGTAAAACAACAAAAAATGCCATATTTCTAGTTTTATAACAAACAGCCCTGCTGCCCAGAACTATTGTCTAATTATGAAAAGCTACGTGATGTTAAGGGGTGGCTTATGAAAAAAAGATGAAAAGAAAAGTAAAATTAAGAAGATACTCTGCAAATAAAACACACAAGTAGCTAGGCAGATAAATCTGGATGTGATCCCATACAAGGACCTGCTTGAAGAGAGTTTAGAGGAGAGCCACAAAGATGACCACAGGGCTGAAGCATCTTTCCTATAAAGACAAGCTGAGAAAGCTGGGGCTGTTAAGACTGGAGAATAGAAAGCTTCAGGGATACCTTCTAGCAGCAGTTCAGTATGAAAGGGGGCTCACAGGCAATCTGGAGAGAGACTTTTTACAAGGGCATGCTGTAACAGTGTAAGGGGGAATGGCTTTAAATTGAAAGAGGTAGATTTAGATTAGATATAAGGTATAGATGAGATACACATTTAGATTAGATATAAAGTAGAAATTCTTTACTGTGAGGGTTGTGAGGCACTGGCACAGGATGCCCAGAGAAGCTGTGGCTGCCCAATCCCTGGCGGTGTTCCAGGTTACGTTGGATGGAGCTTAGAGAAACCTGGTCTAGTGGAAGCTGTCCCTGCCTGTGGCAGCGGGTGAAAGGTCCCATCTAACCCAAACCATTCCCTGATTCTGTGATTCTATGACTCTATGAATTGTGTCATTTTGAGACAAAATTATAAAAGCCCATTATTAATAAAAAATCTTCCACAAAAGTGAGAGCAGTTTCCAAACACAAGTGGGCAAAGGAAAAGAAGAATAAAAATCATGTTATGCTTAGTCTATTTACCTGTTTTGAAAAGTATGAAACCAACAATTGGGCAGTGCATAAGCTAATCATGATTTCAGAAACACTAACCATACCAGTAACTTTACTGGCTCAGATATTTGCAATAATGTTAGTACTACCCAGGTACGCTGCTGGTGACAGGTCAAGTCATCTGACTTGACTTTATTTATCATTCAAAAAATCCCAAACATTCAGTGCAAGCACCACAACTACTGAAAACATACCATCAACAGATCAAAACTGTTCTGTTATTTGCAAAGAAACATACAGGCATACAGTACTTACAGACTCCTAAAGTGTGGGTCCTCACTTTCCTTCAGTCCATCCAATTACTCTTGCATAAAGATGAACAAGGATTTTTCAGCTTGTGATGGATTTTTTTCTTTCTTTTTTTTGGTTTTTTTTTTTTTTTTGAGATTTAAGTAGCTGCTAGCATTCTATGAATATTGTAAATATCCATTTTTAAGTAAGAGCATATTTTTTTATCTCTCTCTTCATAACACTTCTTAAATAATTACCGATTTGCTAACACAATGTAGGCAAGCCTAATATTTCACAAGTGAAATTAAAATAAATGTATTTTTGGCTCCTGGATACCATGTGAAAGTCCACTGCTTTAAATGCTGCTAGTGCATGGAACAAGCTTCTCCAAGATTTCAACGTCTGGTATTTTTTTATGTTAAAGGAGAAAAAAAAAAAAAAAACCAAACCAAAACACTTTTACTTTGAAAATATCAAAATGAATAAATACAGAAATTTCCATCAACTTTTCCAACAAAGATGTTTTAAAATATTTTGCCATTGAGCTTCACTACAGAGTGTGTACAATTTCCAAAACAGGCCTAAAGGCTATTGTAATTTCTTGTGATTTAGTCAGTGATATCATTATTTTATTTATTATTTTTAGCTTTAATTACCATGCAAAATGGCATAAATTTGAGGTTGATCAAAAGCAGGGGCATAGGGGCATTAGGAGAGGCATGTTTTTATATATGCATTAAGATTGCAGAAATAGCCTCCTTTGTCCCATAGTGCTTGGTCTTTGATTTTGAAAAGCATCACTGTTCCTCTAATCACAAAATCACAGAATCATAAAATCGTTACGGTTGGAAAGGGCCTCGAGATCATCTTCCTTGTCACATCCCTGCATACACTGCTGATGTTCCTGTAGTGCTCCCACTTGGCCTGTCCCTTTTTTCCACAACCCATAAATTTCTTTCTTGCCTTTGAGATTTATTAGAATCTCCCTCCCCATCCATGCAGGTCTCCTGACCCCTTTGCCTGATCTCTTCATCATAGGTCTTGAACTTGGAAGGAAATACTTAAATATTGACCAGCTCTCTTGGATACCCTTCTCTTCCAGAGCCGTATCCTATGGGATTCATTTAACTAGGTTTTTGAAGAGGCCAAAGTTAGCTCTCCAAAAGTTTAGGGTTCTACTCCATACTAAAACAAATCCAAAAAATAAAACTAAAAGTCATACAGTTCTTGGTTTATTCTCTTTTCTCCATTTCCCCCATCTTCTTAATCAACCTTTATGTCTGACTGAGGCACTGATCTTCTTGTCTGAGAAGAAATCACAAAACTGAAACAGTGGCTGCTTTCTGCTTAATTTATATGAATATTTTTACAGTGAATATGTTTGAATAAATGGTACAAGAGAGCTCTCCTTTTGTTGTAGTCAATGAAGGTGACTAGCAGCTACTTTAAATATTCTGATTAAAACTGCTCTGATTTTTTCCATTTCTTTTCCAAATAATATTCCCCAATAGGCAGCCAGATTTGGGAAAAGAATTATTCCAGATAGAGTCCATATCTATGCTCACATTTACAAAAGCAGAAACAGTTATGTGTGGGAAAACAATGAATTTTGCATATTTATTCTGCATGCTGACTGCAATAAGAGAGTTCAAGTGACAGCCTTCAGAGTGGCATTAGTATGCTTCAGTCAGAACACCAGACTCAGCAGAGAGGCTCTAACTGAGCAAATTAAAGAATTTAAGAGTAAGCTTGGTGAAATCTTGATAACCCTCTGGGAATTTTGGAAGAACAGTCTTTTTCTTAGCCTGATATTTATACATAAAGAAAGCAGCATACTGCTTCTCTGCCTACAGATATATTTATTATTCCATATTCACTCCTCATCCTTCATGCTTTTGTCTTTATGAATATGATGACTACAGAATTTCCTCTTCTGACATTGTTAATAATATTTACAGTGACAGAAAGCACTTTGGAAGAACTGTTTGCAGAAAAAATACCTCTTTCTACCTTTGGGGTACCCATGGCTCCTTTTCCATATTCCAGGACAGTGCACAGACTGTGCCACATGGCCTCTCCACTTGAGTGCTTTCTCAAGACATGTCAAATTAAATTATTTTAAAGTTCTATCAACCTACAGTTGTTCTCATTCATACAGCTGGTTGACCCGTTCTTCCTTACACACTCAAAAACTTTCTAATGAATTGAGACAGGGCTCCCCCAGGGAGCTGGCAGGGCTCCTCATCATCCAGTACTTGACTGTGGCTTTTCAACATCATGTAGTTCTTGTATTTGCAGATCTCGGATCTCACCTGCATCGACACCTGTGGCTGGCAGAAAGTTCTGTGCACAAGAGTAAAATAAGCCAGAACTCAATGCCTTGTATGATTAAACTTAAAGATATAGTGAGCCTGAATGATCTTCTAGTCTGAGGACGATTTTATTCACAGTGAGGCAGTAAACAATTATAGAATAAGCTCTGAAATTTGTTTGAGAATGGGTCTTTACATTCATGTCAAATGCTTCCACATATTTTCTAGTGGTACTGACAAAATACACCAGAAATTGCAGCTGTATTAAAAACAGAGATTATGTAAAAGAAATCAAGGTGTTAAAAATATATAATCTATATATTTTTTAAAAATATGTAGCTCAGCAAGCAGCTGTTATATAACAGATTTTTTTAATGTTCCTTTTTTTGCCAATCATGAACTGAAAAACACTTTTTGGCATGGAAATTATTCTTCCAGCATCAAAATAAACCATCCCACTTGGTTCAGTTTTGCATAGTTACATACATTATCCTGACAGAGTCTCCTTTTACCTTTTATTACTACTGCATCTCAACTGTATTTACAGTAATAGTATACAAAGTTATTCCTTTTTTTCCTACTCATATACCTTCTGATTAAGGAAATACAGCACCATATTTTAGTATGGTGAGCTTTCATTATAAAATTTCATACCAAAGATAGGGCTGCTATGCTGAAAATGCAAACCAGAAAGATTTAAAGAGGCACAGTAGGGCTGTGAGCAAGGCATGAAGGAAAGTCAAGGAAGGACTGAATCTATTATTTCAAAGAAGACACACAAACTAAAATGGTGCATTGCTTGTGATGGAAAATAAAAGCATATTGCCATTGTTACTAAAAGGAAACAACTGATTTTCTTCTTCTTAATGTATATTTATCTTCTGCAAAACACATGAAGTGGCTGCAGATCAGCTGTGTAACAAAACTTAGTGCCATTTCCACACATAAAGAAATCCCTTTTTCATTTTTGAATTTTTCCATTTTCTTTATTTTTTTTTTCAGCATACTGCTCTCTAAGAATTTGTTCAGCTCTGATTGTCATTCTTATTTTTTAAAATGAAAGACTACTGATGTTAAGTTTTTAATTTCCAAATGGTAATTCTAGTCCCCTTTAAATATAAACACCACTAGATGCTTGGGGGAGGGCAGGGAGGAAACTGGAGTGCCTTAACTGATTGAACCACCCATCTCTCCAAATAAAGGTCTTGTTTGGGGTGCATCAGTTTTAAATGTCTATTCATTATATTGGAGTGTGGATGCCTATTGTCCCTTCTCCAAAACTCATTTCTGAGCTTTATTGGGAAATTTAAGTCAGACAAACCAGTAGACTGAAGCAGTGGGTAGGTGCATTAGTAAAAAACAGTTCTTGAAGTACTGTTGTCTACATGGGCAAGGAAACTGAGCTAATCTGGCTACACGAACACACCACCAGCAACAGCCAATGTCACACTGTGGAAAATCTTCATATCGCTTGTACTCATTTGAATGAATACAGGCTGCTGACTGCAGGTACTCTAAGCACAGCATGTATGCACATATGTGGTGACAGTTGAAATATCCCTCCCATTTCCTTTTCTTTTAATTTCTGAAACAGAAATGGCCATTATGCTCATAATGCCTTGGTGCCCTACATTAGCATTAGTAGTATCCAGATTAGTAAAGAAATAAATATTCTTGTGATACCTGAAAACTCCTCAGGGTCTTGGGATGGTTTTTGTTGGTACCTTACTATCAATCAAAAGTACAGACAAAAATTCCACAGCATCAGCTCATACAAATCCACAAATGTGATGTAATATGCATTCCAAAATCACAACATGAATTCTAGGAAAACAAGTTTAAAAGGTGGTAATAAATCTCTTCAGAAAGAAAAAGACAAAAGACAGAATGAAAGAGAATTTACTTCACAATAATTCTCCAAACCTGTTTAAAAACAGAATAATCAAATTGTAACTCTGAACCTATCCTTTTAGATGATTAAAAACATCTCATTACACAGCACAGGATGATCACCATAAAGACGTATTAGTCTGTTCTCACTGGCAGTGACTTATTGTTAACTCCAAATTGAATATTGATGTTTTGCTATTGAAATGTCATTGCCAAAAATGTACACATAACTCACTACATCCAATGGCACCTTCAGATTTAACTACACCAACCACCACAAGAACCTCAGTAATTCAGAATGGGTTACTGTGGATAAGAAGCTGTAATACTAGTTTTTCAGAAAAAAAAATGCTTGTTGTCAAACGTATATTAAAATATTGTATTAGTTTTTTTGGTGACTGTAATATCGCAAAAGATACCAAGTTATCATACATGATGGAAAAAGACGAGCTTGTGTCTGCTGCTGTGTCAATTATAAATGTTTTGGAAATTTTACTCTTTGTTTTCACTGTCACTTCTTTAGCTGCCATTGAGCTAAAAACATCCCAATTCTGGAATTTAAGTACATGCTTAAATTTTCATTAGACACAATGCAACGTAATCATGAAAATTTTGTGTAAGCTCATATTAAATTATGGCTTTAGCCATCAGATGCTGATTGCTAGTGCCTTCTCCACTTCTGCTGGATTTGCAGACTCAAGACAGATGAGGCCTATGTAACATAACATGATGTCTGGGGAGCTGCACCAGAACCCTTCTGAAATGTAACACTACCCACACTTTCCTGTCCAGTTCGACTGTTCAATGCCTAACCATCTTCATGGAAAATCATTGCGTTCTGACTCTTTCTCACAACTGGAATTTTTATATTGTTCCTAGCAGGTGAAAGGGAGCTGGTAAAATGGCCAGCCTTTTTCAGTATTTACAAATGACTTCCATCCTCAGAAGGTGTCTAGAAGGAAATGCTCCTCCTTTTCTTTTTACAACCAGCACCCACATCTCAAAGCAGGGTTTCACTCACAGCAAAGGTTGATTCACCTGTTTTTCTCTCTCTTCTAAAGAAATACAACACATTAAAATGCACAGCCTTTGGGTTTAGCTTGTTAAATAAATGCTGAAGAGGAGAATATTTACTCCCCCAGTTTAGGTGCCGGGGAAGCTGCTGGTTTTATTTTTCAAAAGGGCTAGTTTTCCACCTGGAACATTCTGCTCATAGTGGCACTTCTGTCAAGAGGGGGTAATTCTTATGCTCAGTACTCCATTTAAAACCATGAATTTGGTGCAGCTTTTGCATAGCTTTGAAATATGTAATAAAAAAGCTTTTGAAATTTTATTTTATTTTTTTAATTTTCTCTGTATGTAAAAGAGCTAGTTTCAACTGCAGGACGATTCAGACAGAAATGTTCTTTCATGCAGAGAACTTCAAACATAAAATCCAGGGGTGGAACAAAGTCTCAAAGGAAAGAGTAATATTAAGCCTACACCCTTAACTGAAACTGAAGAAAGTATTCAGGGACATATTTTTCTTGGCAGAAACAGGAGTCTTCAGTGATGACTACATCAATTATCACAACAAGCTGGTTTCCCTGGGATATTTTTAAACTCTAAAAAAACTAAATTTTCCAAATATTTAACATCACTACCTTTCCAATATTGCTCTTAAGAACTATGTTTAAGAGCAGGAATAAGAACTTCTTATTTTAAAAACTGTACAGTAATAAAGACTGTCATACATAGCCAGGTACCTCTCAAGAAGCACCTTATATATCCCTTCCAATAAGCTCATCAATTAACACAAAATCACCAATAAATACAGAACACAGAGAATACATCTTGCTATAACAAATGCATTCACATTCAGACTTAAATCTTCATGTTCAGCTTAACTGTACTTTCACTCAGATTGATGGAAATATAGGAGCAGAAACTCACAAATTACCTAGATCTGGGCATCCTTTTCTTCCTGAGAGAAAAGTGTGCTTGTTAAGGAATGCAAGTCATTGCATTTATTTTAAACTGTAAGAGCATTCTAATACAATTCATTGCTAAAAGTGTAGATGAAACACTAAGGAGGGTATTTTCTTTAAAATCCACAAGTATTATATTTATTCATTGTAAACAATAATAGCATAAAATTACAGTTAATTAAAATGGAACCTTTACCTTGCAAACCAGGCTCCACAGATAGAAGCAGGAAAGACAAAGAGTTTGCTGCCAAGTTGTCCAGCTCCACTGGTTATTTACTAGAAAACAAGAAAAGGTAAATATACTTAGACTTGTTGGCTGTACTGAGCTTTTTGAAATGTTGTTTTTTTTAGTGAAATTCCTTGAGAAGATTTAGCATCATATTTAGCTCCTATCCTAAAAGGAACAAAAAGGATTGTCATACATAAATGTCTTTGCTAAGGTTATAATACTAAATATTAGAGTGTGCTTACTGGCATTCAAGGGGAGCAGGCAATTGTGTTGCCTAGAGTAGCTTAGAAAGCCATTTACCAAAGGATCTGAAGGTAAAACTAACAAACATTAAACCCAGAATCAAGTCAAATTAAAAATAAATCTTTTCAACAACATGATTAACTACTTATCTCTGCAGGTGATAGAATTGGCGCCCTTTCTCTACCCATGTCCCCAACTCTAGAGTAAGAAAGGAGGTTTTTAGAACTGTATCCTCTTGCCACATTGAATTAAATATGAACTGTCCATTTATCTCAATGTGACATAACAAAAATTGTCTTCCACAGTGAAGGCTGTTGTTAAGAAGGAGTTAAGAGGATTTTTGATTTGTATGCTGGTCAAAACCAGAGTAACACCTGATAGAGTAAAAAAAACCCTATAGGTTATACAATAACTGAGAACTAAACGCTAAAAAACACTAGTAATAACTGTGCTATTTCAAAATTAATCTGAAAAAACTGCCATGAACTGTTTTGATCTACTTGTCCCACATAGCTTTTCAGAAAGAAAAAGGAAATGAACAAAAGTCTTTGGCTTCCTTTCATACAGAAATTACTTTTCCAAGACTTTCACAATTCTGGGAAGAGAAGACTCTACACCTTTACATATAGTACATTATGATCTGATGGAGATTATTCTGAAAACTGAAAATCTGCATATAAAAAGAAAACTTAATTAAAAATATTCTTAGGATAGTATATAAACATAATGCTGCAGTTATTGGAAAGATCAGATATTGTAAGTAAATGCAGGTTTCGTGGTGGAATATAATGTTTTAACAAATTCTCGTTCATGTACCTTGTTATGCAGTACATATAATATGTAATACATATTATATACTATGACATAATGTTATACTGCATGCTTGTTCATGGACAAGTTAAAGAGATCGACAGTAAATCTGTATGGGGAATCTGTAATATAAGGAATGTATGCAACTTCCAGAAGGAGTCTTGGAAGGCAGCAAAGGGCTGCTAGGTCTCCCAGCAGGACTGTCTCCACTAAGCAATGCTGCTTCCCTAGAGAAGTTGTTGCATTGCTCATAAACCAAAGCAGTAATTTTGGCATGAGATTTGCATCAGTTCTTCATTATCTCCCTAGCATACAATTTTTGTGAAAATAAAAACTTTATATACTATTAATTTATTTTTTGTAATACAGAGTTCACAACGGGAACTAGCTGAAAATATTCACCCCTCAAAAATATTATTTTGAGGGAGTGAAGCGATTAACTAAATTCTCTACAAATCCACTTCTTGGGCTTCTGGGGTCCCTTTATGCAGCTTGCATAGCTGTCTGTTGTTCTGTATGAGCTGTCAGCGTGACAAAAAAAAACAAACAAAACATCCCACTCTAAAACCCCAATCCAACCCCACTGTTTAATTCAGAAATACGGGCAGAAAGTTTACCTCAGATTTCTTTTTTTTTTTTTTACAATTGTCATGGAATAAAAACTTCAATTCTACAACATTTTGCTGAAATTTGAACACCTCCCCAGACTTTGAGAAACTTAAGTATTTTCTTCTTGATGGAAACTCACACATTCATACCTAAATCTGATTTTACAGCTCTTATCTTTGTACCTACCAGAGAAAGAGACTGAATGAAATACTCTGAAAGTCAAATGCTATTGGCTGCTAATAAAGAGGTCAAACTATTTTTGAAAAAAAAATAAAAATGGAAATAACTAGTGATATGAGACAGCAGGAAGAAAAAGCCAATAGGAAAAAATAATATTGTATAAGAATGCATAAGAATGCATGAGAATGACAAGATCTATTAGCAGGCAGAATTCCCTTCTAGATGGTTTATTTAACAACTATCTTACTTTCTTTATTCCTGCTCCCTAACTAGATTGAAAATAGCTTATCTAGATGAATTCGTAAATGTCAAAACACAGTTACTCTAAACATTCTTACCATCCTATTCTATTTTTAATAGAAATTACAGTTCTTTTACACTAAGACTAACTCTGAACTGTGCTTTAGATTTTAACTAACTGCAAAAGATATTTAAATCGTATTTCTGTCCTCCACAGAATGCAGCAGTACAACATAGTATCAAAATCAAAATCTTCTCCACTGGATAAGCTCAAGACTCAACCTTCCAAATCATAACATTTCCATCTCATTACTTCATTATTTCTGAGGGCAAAACCCAAGTGGTAGTAGAGGACTAGAGAGGTGTCATCACATTGTATCCTAATGGGAATTCAACAAGGTCCATCACAAAAGGCCACTAGAGAAACTAAGTATTTCTTGCACAATGAATAAGTGATTGCCTAAAAGGTGAGACACAGAAGAACTATTCCATTTCCCCAGCAGCAGGATATCACTAGTGTTGTCTTACATCAAGCTGCCCTAGGACCCTAGCTGCTCTTTAAGTGGTACCAAGGTGAGCCAGAGAACCACAGAAGCTTACTAACAGGTGTGGAAATGATAGAGGAAATTCAGTATCACTGTATGTAAAGTGATGCACATTGAAAAGAAAAAATAAAGCCATTTACATTAAAGTAGTGTGTTCTGACATCATCACTACCCCTCAGAAGTAAAATACGGGAGTCTTAGAAATCAGCTCTGGGAAGACATTAGATTAGTAGATGACAAAGCAAACCTGAATGATTAAAATTACTATGAATTGAATGCAGAGAGGAAAAAGAAAAGTAGAATACTGAGAGACAAATGACAGGACAGTGGCTACCATAATTTTCTACAAAATCCTTAGTGGCACAGACAGTGGCCACTACAGGAACCAGTGGGAACTCTACAATATCCATCAGAACAAAAGTACAAAGAAAACAAAAAGATGCATTTAATTTGTGGATTTTGCACAGGAAACACAGAACTGGCTCGTGAGATGCTGCTCATTGTCAAATTTTTGAAGGAAAAAAAACACCTGCAGGAACCTTTCACTGGCAACTCTGGAATACTTCATCTAAAATTGTCTATTGCAACAGCATAAATTCAATCTCAGTCAAGATACTGCTTTAAGGAAGAGGACAACTGTCACAAAAATGATGCTGAGAGCATGGCATTATCATAGGAGTCACCAAAACATACAACACAGGGACAGCCTGAAGATAATGCAGAGATTTCAGCTGGATTTGAGCCACATGCTAGACATGTGAAATGAATTAAGATAGTTTTGCCCTTAAAGCATACAGTAAACATGAGCATCATGAAAATAAGTTATATGACCTACATATTCTAAAATACTGAAAACATTAAAAGCCACAAAGATAAAATGTTGAGATGCAGTACAATAAAAAGCTACCTGATTTACTGTCAAACAATAAATACTTCAGATTTTAAAAAGGTTTCAGAATTCTATTAATAATAATGAAGATCCTCTAAATCTATATCTTGAAACTATAATTAGTTTTATATACAATCTATGATAGTGTTTCAAGCATAAAAATACTGAAATTCTTTAGACAATAGAATTTTGTAAGGTTAGTGGTCATGTTTTTCCTCATATTAAATCACCAATTTCCAAAGACATGTTACCAAAGATGCACTGGGGAGAGAAGTAGTTTGTTTTGTACATCTTGTCATAGTTCAAAACATTATCTTGAAATGGATGTTTCTTGTCAAGCATTAATGAATTGAACAAATAAAAATTTCCATATAAGCCTAAGGCAGGCAATTTTTTTTTTAACAGATGTGTTAGATTGCTTGCAGTATGTATTAAGCTCAAGAGCCAGATTTTTAAAAATATAAATGAATTAGCTAACGAAAAGTAAACCTTGATGCAGACATCACACTTCCCCTGAAAGCATATCAGAGGCTTGATATTGAAGGAAATAATTAAAAAAATACCCATCTACACACATCAGCTTTAGAGGTATGTAGCAAAACTTTGCAAAACTTCACTGCTTTTAGCAGTGTTGCTAAGTAGTGCCAGACCACTGCAACACAGAGGTACCTAATCCTTCTCCTGACTTCATTCCACTCTGCCCAGCTGAGTTCCAGAGCGACACAGTGGATGGTAGGCACTGCGATGAAATGTCCACTACTTCCTATTCAGAGCTACAGGGCATACTATGCTCTCTAGACATGTAACTGCATTTTAGTATTTCAGATTCTGCACAATACGGAATACAATCTGGAAATATTAAAAAAAGAAAGATGTTAAAGTTGATGAAACTGAAAGTATGGAGTTGTAGAAAAAGAGATTAACCTGAAATGCAATGTCTGTGGCAGTTCTGGAACCTCTAGTACTGCTGTCATGAAACTTGGATAAGCATCTGCTAGAAATGACATAAAATACATATCTTTTCATTTTATTTCAGTCATCACAAGTGATCAAAACTGAGATCAGGCAGTATTTTCAGGTTAGAAAAATGAGGAAGCAAAAAAAACCCCAAATTTTCAAATTTCCCTTTTTAGACGTCCTGAAGAGTTATATGATCTTTACTTACTACAATTCTATTTTAATCATTATATATGAGGTTTTTGAAAACTAATCAGTATCAGGTTTCTCATTTCCTTTCCACAAAGCCTATAAAAATTCATTGATCATAGAACGGTTTGGGTTGGAAGGGACACTATAAAGGTTATCTAGTTTCAAATTCCTGACATGGGCACGGACACCCCCAACTAGCCAGGTTTCCTAATGCCCCATCCAATCTGGCCTTGAGATGCTTTTGTTGAAAGTCAAAAGAATGGATAGTGAGGCAATCTGCAATCAGAGATTTAAATTCTGTCATTCTCTTAATTTTTCATTACTGTATAACTTTCAAATTAGAACAAATGCTGACTAAGCTTAATGTTTAAGAACTACTATA